GTGTGTCGCTACAAAATGTAGTTCTGTCTTTTTGTGCGTATTCACAATCACCTTTTCATATTGATAAATTGATTGTTTTAATTTATGAGTTTCTATCTTTATTCACATTGATTAAATCAATATAAGTTACACTTATGATAATTGCATGAAAAATGGTTTTAATGAAGAAAGTCGAGCCAGGGCCTAAAGATTATGAAATATTGAATGTACATCAATGCATTGATGTACAAGTGCAAGGAAATTAGTGTGGAATAGAATCTAAGCAAAAAGGTGAAACAACAAGAGGTAATTAAATTATTTTAATATATTTAAGGTTGATCTAAGTCATTATTATGTTTTAATTAACATTACTGCCGACCATAACATTCTCTCTCTCTCTCTCTCTCTCTCTCTCTCTCTCTCTCTCTCTCTCTCTCTCTCTCTCTCTCTCTCTCTCTCTCTCTCTCTCTCTCTCTCTCTCTCTCTCGTCGGTTTGATTTAAACTTTACTATCATTCTTCATAGGTCCAGAGACGATGTGGTATTACACAAGCGCAAATCCGCTATTCTTGTCTTTTCATTGATTTTTGAGAGAGACTGTCCTTGGATATTTTTTATATTTAATTATTAATAATCGAGTTTTAAAACCTTTTAGTAGGTTTAAGAAATAACACCAACATACACAAAGTCTTAAATACATTAAATATTTGTGCCTCGTAACCAAGATATTTATCTTGTTTGGTCTCATTGATAATGTAAACACTTTATATAGGCCCCAAGTGAAATGTAAACATAGCGTTATGAAAAATGTATCCTAGGTTACTTGATGAAATTTTAGTTTCAATGTGTTTTATCCAGCCTAACTCCTTTTTTCTCTCCCTCCAGATATCTGCATATTTTCCCCTTGGACATGAGAGGGGAGGGGAAACGGAAAAAAGAATGGATTGCGATTAAATTGTGTACAATGTTAAATTCATTTAGAAAACAGGGATTATTATACTTTTTATCATTATTTTCATACGTCACTAATGATTAATGACTGGAAATTAATCATTGATCTATGGGAATAGATCCAACAGCACACAAGTTCCAAGACTCTTTATGTATGCGTATTATTGCGCCATAGGCGAATCACATTTTGATATAAGGATTGTATTGGAATATCAAATTGCTTTATATCAACACTTTAATATGTATGTATGTATGTATGTATGTATGTATGTATGTATGTATGTATGTATGTATGTATGTATGTATGTATGTATGTATGTATGTATGTATGTATGTATGTATGTATGTATGTATGTATGTATGTATGTATGTATGTATGTATGTAATGATGATGATAAGAAAATAGAATATTCATATTCTTAATCTACATTTTCAAAAATAAATAAACTCCTTGAACAGTTTTTTCATGTATTTATTTTCTTTAATCTCTCTCTCTCTTACTTTAATACAAGAAAAGAATACATGGCAAAGAGAGAGAGAGAGAGAGAGAGAGAGAGAGAGAGAGAGAGAGAGAGAGAGAGAGAGAGAGAGAGAGAGAGAGGGAGAGAGAGAGAGAGATAGAGAGAAAGAGAGAGAAAGAGAGAGATTAAAGAAAATAAATACATGAAAAATACTTTAATACAAGAAAATACATGAAAAATACTTTAATACAAGAAAAGAATACATGGGCGAGAGAGAGAGAGAGAGAGAGAGAGAGAGAGAGAGAGAGAGAGAGAGAGAGAGAGAGAGAGAGAGAGAGAGAGAGAGAGAGAGAGAGAGAGAGAGAGAGAGAGAGAGAGAGCAACACAAATTTGTGCTGGATGTGTACCTTTAACTTCATCTAGCACCAAGGAACCATTATAAACCTGCGTGGTTTGAATGGTATTTGATACACCTTTCACTTTTAGTGCCACATGATGCTAGTGAAAGCAGCAAAACATGGCGAGACTGAACTGCAAATTACTAAGATGCACACATATTCTACTCTATTAAGATTACCTGTTTTAATTTTTGTTTATTTGTTATTTGTTCTTTTAAACATCGAAAGAAAAGGTTTAAAACCGACGAATTTAACCATCTCTCTCTCTCTCTCTCTCTCTCTCTCTCTCTCTCTCTCTCTCTCTCTCTCTCTCTCTCTCTCTCTCTCTCTCTCTCTCTCTCTCTCTGCATAATTAATAATTTATTAGTTGTGATCCGCCAAAAGTCTGTTATTCCCAATGGTCAGATTGTCCTCCAGTCGATTCTCTCTTGTACAGTTACTCATCGCGGCTGTCAGTAATGGCAGAGATGAAAGACAGAAATGTTTTGCAGTATAACATATTCGTCTAATAACAGTTGATTTTATGAAAAAGAAGTGGTGGAGAACAAATTGTTGCCTACTCTCAAATGATTTCAAAGAGCAGACAAATATGCACATGTTTATATATATATATATATATATATATATATATATATATATATATATATATATATATATATATATATATATATATATATATATATATATATATATATATATATATACCGTATCTTTATTCTGTTGAAACAAGCTAATCAAATTAGGACAAATGGGAAAGTATTAACAACTTTTCTCAGTTGAATATATGCAATTTTGTTTTATCATACAACCTTTTAAAAAAATATATGTACTGTAGTATCTCTGATGTGTATGAATGACAACTGACCAATGCAAATGTGAAAGTAATTATATAATCCAAAATTATCATCGTTTAAGTAGCAATTCGTATAAAATGAAGGATAATTACTTTACACGCGATCATTCGTTTTCAGACAGATACAAAGACTAGAAAATTGTGTAGCTGACACCCAGTCGTTACAAACAATTTCTGTTTTGAGACAGCTTACATAAATACTTTCGTTTGTTTCTCGTTCCCCCAAAAGCCGATGTATTTACTTACATATTGACTAACTTCAAAGTGATAATGTCAAACTAAGCACAGAAGGCATCTTTTCGGCAAGTAGTTTTATCTCTGAATTATGCGGAGCTTAGAGGAAGTGTTTATCATTGTTGCCCCCATCATCATCAGCTGAAAAGAAGATAACACCACTAGACTTCAACTGTTTGTACGTGCTATTTTGTTGTCAATAAGCTTTATCAGTGACGGATGACGGGATATTTAACGACCGTGTTTTTAACAAAGTCTGAGAAGAATGTTTTCCGTACAAGGTAACGGAAAAATTTTGTCCTTAGTGTTTATGACCAACCTTAACTTGGCATTAACACTGATGATCCACGTAGACAAGAAAACTTTTCCGCTAGTGCAAAAGGTGAGAAAGAGCGATAAGTAACAGATTTTACAGAGAATGTCAGAGGTTATAATTTTTTAAATTCTTTTAAATAAAATATATTCCACTTGGCTTCATATATAACAACACTTTTTGAATGGGTGCATGTTACTTGTCTAGGCTCGTAATAAAGTAACAAAGAAAAGAATGAAGCCAGCAAGCTTTGTAAAATTTAACAAAATAATTTCTTTCTCCAGAAAACAAGGCAAAAATATGAAAAGGACATGCAGTTTATGAATCTAATCCAAAAATTATTCCAATAATTAAGAAAAGTTCTAAATGAATCAAAGTTCGAATTCGATGAAGTTCCAAGATGGAAGGTGATGATGTTTTCTATATTTAGTTTAGTGCTGTTGTGTCAACAGTTCCTTGTTGAATATTTTGAATCAATAATAATAGTTCAATAATAATCAATAAGAATAGTTCCCAACAAACGTCTTTGTCCAAGAATTCTGATGAACACAAGTATTTTCCAGAGTGAATTAATTATATTGAATAAAAAATTTAATTTGAACTATACACAACACAAAATACCTATGAGCTCCAAATGTATGAAATACGAGAGATTATTTCACTATAAAACTTCAGTTTTAGCCCCAGACTGGAAATGATTTTATTTTAAAAAAGTTGTTTACTCAACTAACACGCAGGCCAACTATGACCTTGATTATGACCAATGATTTTCACTTTGTGTTTACTAATTCTGAATCAAGGTCAGAAACTAGGTCAGCTAAAATACAATATAGCAATGCTCCAAGCTACTGCGTTTTAATCAGGATAAAAAGAACTAAACTGAATTTTCTGGGAAAATGTCAATTCCAGTAAATAAAGTTATCAGTACAATAAGATGTAATGAAATAAAAAATAAAATAAAAAATTAAAACTCACACAAAATTAATTAAATTACATATGTGTAACAGTGCTTTAGTTCGAATAGCTAGTGACTTATTTAAAACAAACTATGTACATGAGGTATTTAGGGGGTTTCCTGATCTTAGCAGATGGCTTATGATAGAGCGAGGCCAATACGCACATTTAAAAAGTAATCATTGTTGGCGCATACATCAAATACAAAAGTTTTTACTAAAATAGTTACGAGGCGACTTGCCTTACTTCTTCGAAAACAAAACTATTAGTGGGAAGCGACTTGTGAAACTACCTTGTGGGGCTGAAATATCAACGCACAGTAAATTGAAATTTTTGGGACAAGATAAATAATGGGGCAACGCTGTATTGTACTCAACTCAGCACTTTTAAGAGAGGTGATAGTCTAAGAAACATTGATCCAGGAAAATAATAAAAACACCCCCCTCCAAACAAAACAAATACCAGCAATTATGCTATCAAAACGATATTTTAGTTTACAGTCTTGGATGGGATTGAAACGGCATTAAAGTTAGTTTTTATGCAACACAGCTTGCAAGAAAATACAAATGTCGATTTCCCTATTTCAGACATAAAATAATTGTGTACTAAAACTTTCAATGTACATCATGCTACATGTCTGCAGCATGAAAACCCAGTTCTAGACATCACTATAAACTGCCACACTGCAGACATAGCGATATGACTGAAGAATTGTTAAAGCTACGTTAAAAGCATAAACACATCGCAACACATCACATTATCCTGATACCAAGCTTACCAGTCCTAACCCTGACCTCTTAATGCTGAGCGCCTAGAGAGGAAGTTGCTTGTACCATTTTTATAAGTATTTGGTATGACTCGTCTGGGGTTCAAACGTGCGACCTCCCACATACGAGGCGAACGCTCTAACCACTAAGCTACCAGAGTGTCGGTATTTACAGATCAACTACTACAATCCATAAGGGTGTTTAGTGATTTTTTTCGCTATCACACAATCTGACGATCGATCGTCCATATCCTTATAAATTATTGGTATAAAGAATGATGGTATTTGACTTTGATTTTGGGTAAAACTCATACTTCCTTAATTAGAATATTTTTCAAAAGCGTTATCATGACTATCAAAATGCAAGAAATTATGAATGAAGAAGTGGAATGTAATTTCTGCATCTAAGATTCAGGTTGCTGGGCTTTTCTACATTTCGGTCACTTGAATATGGTCGCGAACTTTATGTTTTAATATGTTACTCTCAATACGTAATCATTCTGTTAAAATATTTCTCTTCTTCATCCGCGTCTTCCATAAAGTTTTGCATTTTTCAGTTTCTTGATTATTTCTGTCGCTGTCGTACACAAACAGTTGTAAAACACGGCTGTGCAGTCAGTTCCTCCTTTGTATTGGCTTGTGACATTCGTTAATCGATTTGTGAATTTAAAACTTGATGGGATGCTCTTTGTAGTTGACGCTGTCAAAGAGATGTTGGTCGTTTGTAGCATCATTGAAATGTTGTCGTGAGCAGCTTATAAATTTCGTGCACGCTATGATTTCAAAGTTGCAATAAGCGACATAAAAGACCCTTTTAACATGTTGAATTTCACAAGCGATCTCTTTTATGAACATTTTGTGTGTCAAATTGTTTATACCGACACATAGTCTTTTGCTGTCTAATAAAATCAAACTTTCTTCCTATCATGTTCAATTTCTTTAATGATACCAACCTGAATACACGTAATATTTTAACTGTTGTAATGCATTTATCTTCAACCATTTCATACACATTTCTATAGTTATCATGCAAGATTCAATTCACTGCTACAAGATATCTGTTAAAGCAATGATAGCATCTAAAAGAACGACATTCCTATATGCATAATCAGTTGTTGTATTGAGTACCGATTCAACTGCATGTAAATTGAAAACAACAAACCACTATCGCCACCACCACATCAACCAATATGTCATCCATATTATTTTGTATGTTTATTTTAGGTTGTTTGTGTTACCTCATGCAGGTAAATCCGAATATGATCTTTCTTTTACCGATCGAAACCTGTATTCCTGAAGTGTTAAATATCCATTGCTACCAAATATTCACGTCATGCAGTCGTTTATTTCTTTGCTTAATTCAGTATTCAAAATGTCAAACAAACAAGCAGTAGCTTCATACATTTTATCTTTGCTCATTCCGTTTATAGGATTTTGTTCTGTGATAAAATTCCCTTGATTCAACACAATCTTTAACCTGTGTGAGCCGTTTCATAAACGTTTGAATGTCTTTCTTGTACAGAACCAAAGTGTCTAATTTGTCCATTTATGACTTTTCTAGGTATAGTTCAATGTTTCAATGTCATTATAAATAATTACAAACCTTGATTGTTACCATAATAAACCCTGTAATCGTTTACATTTCGCTTGAAGAAATCTCTAAGTCTTTAAGGGATAATTGTATTTACGTTTTGCTTCTTCATTAGTCTCCATTGTTTAGGATTACGTCATCTTATTCCAGAAGGCATACATAAGTACAAAATCTGTTTTAGAATAGGTAGATCAAGTATATAAAGAGTTTTTATCTTTACATTTTTCATCTATCAAAATGTCAGTGGATTTTACTAGTACCGAAACTTTAAATGTACACAAGAATAATAAAGTTTACCTTTTGTCAATATTTACCTAAATTCTCAATCCAGAACCTACGACCTTTCTCCCTTTTGGTAGGTGGGGAAAAACGACTTGCCTTTCACAAAGGGAGGCCACATTTCCATTTCAAGATCGAGATGTTTATCTTCCCTACGTGATATTACTTTTTTCTATCATTTGGGACTTTTTGTGTTCTTATGTTAAGACACGCTTTCCAATTGTCATGTTTGAGACCAGTTATTTCATAGCTTCTTTTAAGATGACATGGGCTGCTCCATTCATTGATACACATAGTGGCTGATTTATCCTTTTCTTTCCTTGTTTTTATGTCACGAGGCCCCAATGCATGCTCAGAACAAGACCAGCTCTTACTAGGGTCATTGATTTTCTCACTTGGTTCCAGCAGTTAAGTAGCTACTTTGTGAAACGCGCGCGCACACACACCCACACACATGCACGCACCCACACACATTAAAGAATTTGTGTACTAGGGTGCGACAAAATTTAATATGCAAAATAAAATTTTGGCAGATGTAAGACTCGACCCATTCACCGTTGGTTAATGAATCCAAATAGGTTAATATTAAGTTGCTGAATTCAGTTACTATTACCATAATTTCTAGTGTGTGCGCGTGAGAGTGTGTGGGCGTGGGACTTACATTTTCAATGTAGCTTTGACGGTATTAGTTATATCACAACGATGTCTGCAGTGTGACAGTTTATAGTGATGTCTCTAGTATGAGGCATCATGCTATAGACGTGTAGCAAAATGTCCCACCCAGTCACATTATCCTGGGACCAAGCGGACCAGATCTATCACTAGCTTCTCAATACTGAGCGCTGAGCGAGGAAGCTGTATCATTTCTTGATGTCTTTGGTATGATACGTACGGGGATCAAAGCCACGACCTCCTGCCTCAAAGGAGGAAGTTCTAATGACTTAGGACACCGGAGAGGTCTTTTAGTTTATGTGATTAATGTTTTTTCATTCCCTCCATGCATTCTGCGGAACGATATGAGTTATCAATACAGTGTGTGTCCGTCTGTCTGTTACCATCTTCCTGCTGCTGAATTAAATTTATCAGCTCTCAGTACTTGTCATAATACTAATAATGTCTGAATGTGAATAGATCCCAGACTTATCCAAAAGTCGTTCTAAAATGCCTTTTATGTAGTGCTCTCGTGTTCATAAAGTGGGGGCGGAATGAAAGGGTGTACACATTGTTTAAATAAACGGTGGCATTTAATTTAATTGTTGATTTATTTGCTTCAGCCAGATCCAGATCGTATTCTATGACACATTTATTCCCAATGCACTTTCCTTATCTGAGTTAGCCTCTTATTTCTCTCTACTTTATGGATGCCATCTTTCCATGTTGTTTGGAATATGCACATGCATTTTCTGTTCATATTTTGCATTTTGTTTTCAAAAAATATTCTGTTGAAAAAATCTGTACTACATGTTCCTGCCATATGTACATATACATATATAATGATCAAGCTCAGCTATGTTGTAATAATACGCCTTAGATCTCCACCAATCAAAATATTCTAGTTAGCGTTGGTGTCAGTTATTTCTACGTTCCATCAATTTTTGGTGATGCTGCTTGCACTACTACACAAATTTTACCAATTCTGTCAAAGGTAGTCGATATGTTTAAAATACCACGAATTGTGTTGCGTGTTTCCGAAGTAAGATACATAAAAGACTGAGAAAATGTTTGAAAATACAGTAGTTGAGCAGACAGCGTCACATTTAATGTCTTTATTTTGTTTTATTACAGGCAGTGCAAGCCTAGGAAACCATTTTTCCGTATTTCTCTTTTATTAAATCAGTAGCAAAAGTAAGCGTTCTAGTAGTCTTTTACGCAGTAAAACAGTTTCAGTGAGTAGATGGCTGATGATAAAGATGCCACTTGAATTAATCCGATAGTTATTAAATCAGTTTATCATATTAAATCTAACTCGAAGACTCGTCTTCCTATAAGCCATCTAGTGTCATTTTTAGCTCATCTTGCTGTGCAATTCCCGGCTCATATTTACGAAGTACAGGAGCGATTACTTTTCCCAGCTCATGTTCACGATGTATGGGAGCGATATTGTACTATTCCAAGCTAATGTTCACGATGTATGGGAACGATATTGTACTATTCCAAGCTCATGTTCACGATGTATGGGAGCGATTTTGTAATATTCCAAGCTCATGTTCACGATGTATGGGAGCGATATTGTACTATTCCAAGCTCATTTTCACGATGTATGGGAGCGATATTGTACTATTCCCAGCTCATGCGCACGATGTATGGGAGCGATATTGTACTATTCCCAGCTCATGCTCACGATGTATGGGAGCGATATTGTACTATTCCAAGCTCATGTTTACGATGTATGGGAGCGATATTGTACTATTCTAAGCTCATGCGCACGATGTATGGGAGCGATATTGTACTATTCCCAGTTCATGCTTACGATATATGGGAGCGATATTGTACTATTCCAAGCTCATTTTCACGATGTATGGGAGTGATATTGTACTATTCAAAGCTCATGTTCACGATGTATGGGAGCGATATTGTACTATTCCCAGCTCATGCTCACGATGTATGGGAGCGATATTGTACTATTCAAAGCTCATTTTCACGAAATACGTGATCCGAAATTTACTATTCGCAGCTCATACAGCTTATTAATAAAACCTGCTGTATCGTGACACATGCTTAGGAGCTCTATCTTGGCAGGCACGACAAACTCGTTACAAAATTATGTCACCGTTACCCATATTTCACGTTTCACTGACTTTGGTTAAATTTTGATATTTTAAGTGTATTTCACAAGTTCTTATCTTGCTAAAGACAACAAATCAGTTGATTATCTCTATTAGTACCACTCTTACAACAAAAGAGAATTTAGATAACCTAACAATGACATTCTACTTGTTTAGGATACTTTTATGAGTTTAGCTCATACCCATATAAGTTTTTCATACCCTGCAACTATACTGTTATAGATATAATCATGAAATGTTGCAACAGGTGCGGATCATATTATATATAGTTGACAAGTTTTGAAATCGGCAAATTCAAGACCGTGCTGACTGACATATCACAATTTAGGATTGAGTGATTTTTATGCAGTGGAGGAATACACTGGTGGAGATATTAATGATATTGCTTGACTTTTTGAACATTGCATAGTAATAGATGTGCTTACTTTGTGTATGCAGGGTATTTTATGAGTGGAACGAAATAATTTTTACGATGATAGTGAAATATTTATTCGTCATGAATCT